TATTTCTTGAGCTCAGACACGCCGGCGACTTGGCTTCCCTTTCCGAGGTCGACGAAGTTGAGGAAGTCCCGCCACGAGTTGTCGTCGACGGTTAATTCAGTTACTTCTATGGCGGGAAAGCAAGGGAGGAGAAAGGGGATGATGGCCAAAAAGGTGAGGAATAACAACCGAAACATTGTTTCTTAATTAGCCCTTTCTGGATTCGTTAATCAATGTGTTTTGATCCTATTAAAATAGTCCCCCGGCTTTTGGGAGGACGTGAAATGTGACTAATTAATTCATACTTGCACATATATGTATATTTCTAGAAATAAAAGAGGTGCTCAATAATAATAAAATTAAGATTCTAAAATTAAACAAACACTCTGGTACAATATTTTTTTTGTGAGAAGGTACAATATTTATTTATATTTGTAAATATGTATAGTAACGAGGCGGGGCATGGCGATTCCAAACAGAAATGTTGAGGTTTAGTATTTTAGATATATATATATATATATATATATATATATATATATATATATATATATAAATGTAAATGAAAGATAAGATATACGTAGAAGAAAAACATTGGGAGGGTGCGTATGGTTAGGAAAATTCTGTTGTGTGGCGTGTTTGTGTTTTCTTTTTAGATTCTGACTTTTGATGGCTGCAAAATAGCAATGTCGTGGTGGGTTGGGTGAGCTACTCCCTTAGTTTTCTATTCTATCGCTCACAAAAAAGATGGTAAAGTTTTTTTATTGTGTAGTTGATGAGATTCAAACGCGAAACTTATTCCTTGTGGTACTTCTATTTACAGATTGAGTTATGCCCGCCAATCTATTCTATCCCCCACATTGTTCGCATCTTTGCATTATCAATTCAATTTATATTTGTATGTGTATTCGGATACTGTCAATAAACTTGATTCAACACATTTTTTACATATTACTCCGTAGTTTAGTACTCCGTAGTTTTTTTTAATGTATTAATTAAAGTATTATATGCAATGTTTTTTTTTTGTCTTAAAACTTTCGAAATAAAAAATAGACATTTGTTATATATGCGAGAGAAACCTAAAAAATACATGTTTTTATGCGAGATTGAAGAGTATGTATACCGTGGGAGCGACTCACCTTGAGCATCCTGCTCACAGGGTTCCTTTTTTTTTTTTTTTGCTTTCAACACCAAACTGATGTGTAACTCGTGCTTAAAGTAATGTAACTCATGATTATAAGAAATGTAACTTTAGTCAAGTTGAAATGTAAATTGTTTAAAATATAATATAAGAAGTAAAGCATTCATGTCAATGTAGATAATGAAAAATAAGAGCTTGATTAAGTGTATATGTTTTGTTATTAATATCAGGATTATGAAAATTGATTTTTAATAAAAAAAATTGTTTTTTGAATAACAAGGGTTTACTTTGTTGTGTAACTCGTATTGTTTTGAAGTGTAACTTGATATAAATGGAAATGTAAATCGTTTTTTTAAAAATGTAAATTGTTGCAGATGAATAAAAATGAGAAGCCCTGCACTCATCCGTAGACTTCGAACTCCAAAGCAACATAAACAAAAGCTTGAAGAAACATCCATGTACTAATTAAGATTCTAAGAATAACAAATTCAATTTATAAAAGCCTATCTCTAATTCTGTGGAGCACTTGATACGAAGCTCCGGCCAAATCGTTCTCAAATCAGTGGTGGCCAAGCTCTGCCCCACTCCACCATGGACGCAGCTTCCATCTCTGTTGCCGCAAAGGAGGTAACGGATCACCATTCCACCGTCTTACCAGTCCTTAACTCCATGTTCATCGCTATTGGAGGCTACATCGGTTAATTTTTTTATAAACAAAAAGATGCCGTTTGGGGACTGGTACACCGTGCGCACGGTGTAATGGTCTCAGGGTATAATTTGCGTAGATTGAATGATTGATACTAATAATCCTTCATCTTTAATAACTTCACAAAAATGAACCCGAGACTAATGGCGTTAACATTTCCATTATTTAAAGAAAAAATGAAAAAGTTCACAATAATGTTCGATGAAGTGAAATAATACGTAGTATAAAGCATTAAAATTTCATATCTAATTTTAAATCTAAGTCTACTCTGAATTCAAGAGTTTTTTTCCGTATTAATGCTAATTAATTAAGTATTTACGAAAATAGGGTTGAGTTAAAAGTATTTACGGATATACTGCTGGGCTTAACCCTGGTCGGAGTAAGTCGCACCCCCCCCCCCTGCGTGGTTCAGAACCGAAAATTCGCACCCCCCCTGCGCGGGCGACCTGCGGACACGATAGTCGTAAAATTCAGCGGGTCTCAAAAGACAATTTTGCCCCTCTTTTCTTTCCTTTTTTTTTTAAACTTTCTTTCTCGATACTGGACTGGACTGGTGGGTTCTCGAGGTTAGCTTAACCATTTTTTTTAATTTATGGGTAAGTCGCCAAACGGTTGGGCGACTTATAAGTCGCCAAACGGTTGGGCGACTTATAAGTCGCCAAACGGTTGGGCGACTTATAAGTCGCCAAACGGTTGGACGACTTACCCCGACCAGGGTTAAGCCCAGCAGTATATCCGTAAATACTTTTAACCCAACCCTATTTTCGTAAATACTTAATTAATTAGCATTAATACAGAAAAAAACTCTGAATTCAATACATATAATATTTATCATTAAATAAACTACTTACGTAGTACTTGGTAGTACGAATGCTGGAATGGCCGAATGGTGAACAAATACACATCAAATAATTTTTTATTGGAAAAATTGATAGTAATAATCCCAACTATTGGCGGTCTGCTCATAATAATCCCAACTATTGATTATTACAGAATAATCCCAACTTTATGGACCTTCCGCCAATAATGGTCCCTATGAATAAATTCTTGTAGTTTCTAATGCTGGAATGGCCGAATGGTGAACAAATACACATCAAATAATTTTTTATTCTTTTATATTTTGTCTATACATTTTCATATTCGATATTTTTTTTCATATAATATGTTTCAAAGTAGTTTAGTAATACTATGTTAAATGTCAGTGTGAATTAAATGATAGTAATTCTTAATTAAGTCAAGTATCGTAATTTAATTTTATATTTCTTATAATTTGGAATAAATGTGATACTAACTTATTATAAAAACTATTTCATGCGCGTGTAAGAAATTTTTTACCCTCTTATATTCAAAAAGTATAAAAGTTAAATATAAATAATCTCAATTTGAAAATTATACTACCTCCGTCCCAAAAAAATTTGTCATTTTCAAAACTTTGACCAATTATATCTTTTTATTGGAAATTATTTATAATATAAAAATTATATGAAAATGTTCTTTGTTATAAGTACTTTCATAAAAGTATAAAATTATTAGCTTCCATTATATTATACTAATCGAAATTATGGTTCATTTTTTTTTAAATGACAAAGTTTTTTGGGACGAAGATAGTACATAAATAATCTCAATTTCTCAACAGTTTCATGGAAATGAACTACTCTCTTCGTCTCGCTAAGATTGTCACAGTTTCTATTCACTTAGTCAACACAAATCACTCTTAATCTCTTACTCTATATATCAAATATTTATCAAATTGGATTCTGTTTTTTGCGACTTTGTAAAGCTTTTAATGTAGTTTTTGAATATGCTTTTAAAAAAAATAATTTAAGTATGGACAGAAATGTATTTGCTTTGTTGTCGGTCAAGCCTCGTGAATCAAATTATTTCATTCTTAGTCAATAATATGTTACTACGTAACATATTGGGGAGTAACATATTGGGCAGTTAACAACATCAAGTGACACTTCATTTTTGTGAAACAATTAACAAATTGAAACGTAGTATGAAGTAATTAAAACGGTAAACCTTAGAGATTATTGATGTGAACTTCGTCATATTGATATTGGGTATTGTTTATTCACTTTAGAATTTGGTATCAAAAAACTAAAATCATACTCTGTATCATTGTGTTTTAGAGCTTGTGCTATAATTTAGTCAAATGCTTAAAAACTAGATAGTACTACGTATTGAGATATGATAAAAAGACGGGATACAACGAGTGGATTCAGTCTAGATACAAATAGAACAACGAGTGGATTGAGAATAATATGATAAAAAGACGTGATTCTAAGTGCTCTAAATTGGTTCATAGAAAGGAGCTTTGGGAACATGATTTTTTAGAATTATAATAATTATTGGGATGTCTTTGTTTGGACTCTTAAGTCTCAAACCAGATCAGTCATGAGAAGGGAAACTGCAAGCCAAATGTATTTGTTGATGGCCTCTGTAAAGCAGCTGGTAAGCTGCTTTACTTATTGGATGAGAAGGGAAACTGCAAGCCAAATGTATTTGCACATAGCGCTGTTATTGACTCGTTGTGTAAGGACAAAATGGTTCACAAATGCTCTTGGCATTTTAGAGAAGATGACAGGAAAGGGCATTCTTCCCACTAACTGATTGGCTCTGCAAATCGAGACGATGGGAAGAGGTCAGAGAGTTGCTGAAGAGAATGATAGATGGTGGCAAATCGAGAACATCCAGATCTGTTCAGGTATAGATGGATTCTGTAAGAATGATCTTATTCCTCAAGCGCTTTCTTTAATGAATAAAGGCAGCTGAGAGTCCTGCATGTCCCAACATAGTAAGCTATAACAGTCATAAGTATGCTATTTAGTGATGGAAAGCCCAGCAGTGCAGTAGAATTATTTAATGCCCTTCCCTCAAAAGTGGGAAAGCTGAGAAAGCCGGATAGAAGATTTAAAAGATATTTTGCGGAGAATGGAGGAAAACGGTTGCATGCCAGGTAGTATGGTAGATATTGCACTCATAATGAGCATTGTGATGATGTATTACTTTTGGCGGAAACGACAAAACTTGTATTCTCACTTGACAGTAGAACATGTGAGACTATACTCGAGACAATCTTGCGAGATGGACCATGCATATGCTTATGAATATAAGAGAAAATGACAAAAAGTCGTGATTTTAAAGCTTCACATAGAAAGGTTTGTATTTTATTTGTATTTGTGCCTATGTTCATTTTGAATGGTAAATTCTAATTTACTAAAAACAAAATAAAAATGAAAATTATGAAATCCATAAATGTTAATAGCCCCTTTGGGCATAGCTTTGAATCAACCTCCATGGTGTAATCTGTATCTCATTTTCCATATAAAGATATCGATGGCAAGGGGAGAGAGTGCTAGAAGTTCTTCCAATTGTCCTCTCAAGCAACATCCGCATTGATCTCTCTTGCTGCAACCGCAAATCCAACTCTTCAAAAGTATCAACTATGTTAAGAAGAAGTTGAATATACTATACTAATCAATGAGGACATATAGAATAGATATTGCTTTTTTGCAAAAAAAAAAATAGATATTGCTTTTCTTGTAGCAACTATATGAAAGAGTGGTCTAATTTACATCTTTTTCCAATGTAGCGTGGTTGTTAGGAATGACATCCATTGTCTTTTTGAAGCTTTAATGAAGCAGGCTTGCCCTGCAGCTCCTTGTCGGTGGTGGCAATCCCTGAAGAAACATTGCTCATAGAGTTTATTAGATTTTCATACCAGAACTCATTAAAGTGTGAAGAAATGATGGATCAATGTAAACAAATTCATACATTTGTCTCTCTGAGGCACTGCAATGGCAAAATACAAAAGCACACTTATTCAGAAAATCTACATGTGTCTCCAAAACTGAATGGAGCTAAAGTTAAGCTCAAGTCTCGTTCATCTACACAACATTATGAAAATTTAGTGTTTCACTCTTTGAATTTGCAAAATTTTGTAATTAAAATTCTTAAGAGTAGTCTGATTACTTTGAAATTAACTCTATACAATATATATCAGACTCTCAGTATGCATAAGAAAACTTCAATTTGCATGAAGAGCCAAACAAAATGCATTTAAAAGGAAAAGGAAAAAAACTGCTGAAGCTCAACCTTCTTGATCTCCTGTGCTGGGAATTACCATAAGAACAAGGGGCTCTTCCCACACCATCACCATCCATAACTAATCCAACCATCATGCTTGTCTCTGGGTCACTCTTTTCAACAACCAACTTTCTCTCTTCATGCATCGATACATGCATAAAGTGAAACTTACCCTTAGAAATATACATCTACCTCATGCTAGCTACTGGAAGAAACTAATGGAATAGACTATGTATATGAGAAAACAGACAGATTGTTTAATGACTGAAGCAGTGGAAATGAATGAAAGACAAGAATAGCAGCAGCAACTGAAAAAGGAGATGGGATTTGATAAAGGTGAAGATATATTGTGAAATAAGGTTCAGTGGAAGTGATAAATGGAGCAACAGAAAAGCCAAAGAAGTGTTTGGTTGAAAGGGGGAGGTGGACCAGGATAGCTGCAAAGGAATTGAATGAAGATTTTTAATATACTTCACCTGCCCACACACCCAGTATTTACAAAGTGGATTAAAAGTCCAAAATTTGGCTCAAAGTTTAAGAAAGTATGTTAAAATTTCTACATTACCCTTACCTTCTATATTTCCCAGAAAAATATGAAATAATATCTTAAGAGATTTAAAACAAGAAGAATTTAACGGAAAACTTTTACTTAAAAAGGAAAGTGGGAGTTCTAACTTGGGACATTCCAAAATGAAAAATATGACTTTCATTTTGGAATGGAGGAGGTAATATATTAGAGTGATGTCTAAATCTGAGTATAAGCTGCTACTTCTGCCCCACTTTGTTTGGAACATGAGAAAATGTCACGATTAGTAAGAAATGTGGTATATCATTTTGTCATAATATTCTCAATCTCAAAATTTGTGAAGTAAATGCATCATCCAGTCAACCTCTTGGAGAAATAATATCGTTTTTTCTTTACTTGTTTGATGTATGAGTTGGGGATTTACAGGATCATTTGTGAGCTAATATTGAGAGAAATGCTTGTATTGCTTTCAAGAACAGAAAGAATATAATTATAAGTATTTACAAGCTCTAAGCCTCTAACTAGAAAGTACAATACCTAGACAGAAAAAGAAGTCTCTTTATTTTTGTAATACCAACCAAAAACTTAGTATGAACAAGCTTCGACCAAAGTACATGAGAAGACCCTACTTGTAAGACCAAATTCAGTATGATAAGTTCCATTTGTCAAAGGTGGTGACTTGTAACTTGTAAGTGGCAGTCAGATTGAAAGTTCAAAATTGAGTTCTTCAACTCAATAGTATCAATCTGCATGTCTTGAAAATCAAATATTTGAATAGTGATAACTAACAAGTTCATATATCACAATCTGGACCATTTACCATGACATATTGACTTGCAAAAAGCCATATTAGCGCTAACTTTGAGTAAACTTCACATACCCTTACAATTTAATATATTTGGCTAACCTTCATTTGATTAAAAAGAAAAGGGAAAACTAACAAATAGACCTCCGTACAATACTCAAGTAGTTACTAGGCGACACACTCATATTATATTAAAATATTATCACCGAAAACGTGTGTGGTATTGGGTGATGATATGTTAACATTACCAACCCCTAATAATTAAGTTCATCTTGTAAAACAATGTACTTTTTAAATATCACAAATATAATACGGAATGGTTCTTAAAAATGACATAAAACTGTCATGAATTGTATGGGTTCGTACAAATTCCCATTCACTTAATAAGAGTTATGTGGAAATACTTTCACCATGTGTGCAGCGCACATCAGATTCAGAATGAAGCAACAATAAGTGAAACATGAATGGGAATTACATCAAATTGAGATGTATAAGAATAAAGGAATGATACAGTTAGAGTCTGAACAGAAACCAATCAGTTTAACATTCTTTTTCCTTTGACATGAAACACACAAACACACAAGGATCCATTTCTCTGATTTAAATACAATCATTACAATAATCCTAGGGTTCGTTTGGAACCTGGAAACAGCTAAAGGAAAAAATGGGGATGAAAACATACAGGAAAGTTGGAAGGAGAAGAAAAGTAGTGGGGCCTACGAAAAACATTGCTTTGCAAATTACAATCAATATGTTAATTCTGGATACTCGTTCAAACATTTCTTAATTAAATATTGCTTTTAATAAACACTGAAATCAATAGATGTTTAAGATATAAAATTATTGCAATCCAATTAAATTTCCTTTGTATTTTGGTGGGTGAGACCAAACATGAGAAAACAAACCCGTTTTTCTTATCATTTTTTCTTTCCCTGAGTTTCAACCACGCAACATTTTGAGAACGAGATATTTCTAGTGGTAAATGTTGGGTGTGTATTTCAGCTCAGGTCTCCAACCAAAACAACTCACACACACCACCCCAGGATTGTTTAGCCACTCCACTCACCTTGTTTACCACTCCCTCACACTCTAACTCCACACAAAGGAAGGAAGAGGAGCTCACTGTATTGAACTCACCGTATCTCTCAAAAGGGAAGAGAAGCACTCAATTATAGTAGGCTATTATTTGCTCATGGGTGTCAAAGACAAACAAAAGTGGGGCTCGAGACAGGCTAGCAAAAGTCAGGAGGCCAAGAGACAAATAATACCAAGTCAATAAGAGTTGGCAGCGGATAGGAAATGCCAGGCTAGCTAGATCAGTAAGAGTGTAGGAAATAGGAGTAAACATAGGGTGCAGGCCTTAACACAAATAAGTGGAAGGAAAGCCTTGGTAGGACCAATACCTCCAACAGTAAAGAACACGAAATTAAGTTGACATGCAATTTTCTAGCCTGCCTTTTCCTTATGGATGCATATTTCTCGTTTAAACATGTGGACATGTAAACCGCAATGACTTATGAGAAAAAAGCTCTTGGCATCTTAACAGACAAGTCATAATTAGCATTAAAATCTGAAGAGTGACTACTTTCATCAAGAATGAGAATACACATTGGGTTATGGTTCTTTGTGTTTGTTTATCATAAATTAGCATCTATCATTCAGAACAGACACTACGAGAAAAATCCCTTATAGAGGCAATACTTTGAAGCAACCTGCCTCTAAAACACTCTTTTAGCATCATACAAATCTTGGTTGCCTCTAATCTTATAAGCTCTCAATACATTTGAGGCAACCATGATTCTTTTGTCTCTAAAAGGTATTATTTGGAGCAGCCTTTTTAGAGCTGCCTCTAAAAGTTTGTTGCAAAAGTATAGTCACCCCTAAAAAGTATTACTTGAATCAACTTTTTTAAAGGCGTCTCTAAAAATTGTTGCAAAAGTATGTGGTCACTATCATTAACTTTCAGGTCTTTAAAATATTTACTTTGTGGTTAGCTGTATTTCGATCATTTTTGGCTCTAAAGACTCTTTAACTTTAGAATTTGAGTTTTTAATCCAATTAAAATTATTTTCCCCACATAGGATTTTAATTTGACTAATATCATCGGTATAAGCTCAGAATTAATTTGAGGTAGCTGTAGATTATTTGTCTAAAAAAGGTACAATTTGAAGCAATATTTTTAGGGTTAGTCTCTAAAAGTTTGTTGCAAAACGTAATCACTCACAAAACATCACATTCTAAATGTCTTAGGCTATGTTTGGCATGCAAATGTCTCTGTCTTCTAACTTTTCTACTGTTCAAAATGTCTCTAAAAATTTTAGTTGTATGTTTGACATGACAATTTTTAAGAACTTTTCAAAAATTAAAAGATCTTTTTTGAGATGCCACGGGGAGTAGCATCTGAGAAAAGCCCGTGACTCTTAGTACTAGACCAGACCAGACCAGACTTGGATAGTTATAAAAATACAAAGAAACCAGACCTTATCAGACCAGACCAGACTGGACCAGTTCAGACCAGACCAGATCAGACCAGACCAGACCAGCAAGTCCAAGTAAAAACATGAAAAAATGGCACAATTATTACGACCAAGGTTTTAATGGAAAAAAATATGAGTGTTTTTTAACTTTACAAAAAAGTGACCCTATTCTTCTCTCCCGATCCAAATCTACGCATCTCGCCTCCCCTGCGCAATCTGTCTGCCCTGTACCATAGCTCGTTCATCATTGACCTCACAACCTACAATGGCCGCCAGCTGCCTCCCCTGTGCAATCCGCCTCCCCTGCGCCATCCGCTGGTCATCGTAGCCATTCGTATCCTCTTTGCCCGCACCTCTCTCTCCCAAACCGGTTATCTCGCCAAACAACTTCCTTCGACAAAGATGTGGTGAAGATGACAGCTCCACCTCCAAATCGCCACTCCAAATTGCTTCTGTCTATAGTCCGTAACCTCCGGTTTCCTCCGTCCTTGTACGCGCAGTCGCCGTTGTCGACATTGCCATGCCCCTTGCTTCTATTTCTTCTAATTTTCTTCGATTTTAGGGGCTTCACCATCCTTTTTAGCACTTAAAATTTCAGATCTAGCATTGGACGGTCGGAATCTAAATTGGTGGAGGTTGTGGCTAAGGTTACTAGCGGAGGTTGTGGGATGGCGGTTGGGAGCTAGGGTTAGGGACTGCCGGTTGGGTTTGGGGCTGAGGGCTGAGGGGTGGGGCATACCAGTGGTGTGGGGCAGCTTGTGGGGGGTGGGGCATGGCTGAAGTGATGAGGGCAGGGCTTGGGTGATAAGGGCGGAGGTGGGCAGGAGTGATGGGGTAGTGTAGGGATGTGGTGATGGTGGTTGGGCAGCCGGGCAGGGAGGCAGGGTGTTGCGGGGAGTGGCGGCCTGCTGCGGCCCGCTGTGGTGGTGGTCTGCGACTTAACCGGTGGGGCGTTCATTTCAGTGACTAATTCAGCAATATTTTTGCAGAGGGAGACAGTGGCAGTGTCGTTGGAAAAATCACCGGAAAAAGTCATCGGAGAATTTTCCGGCCTTCACAGCAACACATTTCCGGCGACAATGACACGAGTGATGGCTACAGTGACACGGGCGGTGGCTACAGTGACACGGGAGGTGGCAACAGTGACACGGGCGGTGGCTACAGTGACATGGGCGGTGGTTACAGTGACATGGACGGTGGCTACAGTGACACGGGTGGTGGTTGTAGTGACACGGGCGGTGGCTAGAGTGACACAGGCGGTGGTTGTAGTGACATGGGTGGTGGCTATAGTTACAAAAAAACGAACACGAAGTGACATAAACTTTTTGCAGTTACATCATGTTTTCTAATTGCACATATATGACCTTCTTGATCACTTTTTTGTCCCTTTTTAAAAGTGGTCACTTTTTGGGTAATTGATTTAAAATTAGTAATATCCTAGTAAAAATCCCTAAAAACATCCTAAAAGCTAACGGTAATTAATACGAGCACTACGTATTTTCTTAAAAAAAAAAAAATTGCCTAGCCTAATTTGTGTCCTGGCAAGTCTTCACACCATCCGAACAAATTTTCCCCCAAAATATTTGCCGCCTTCATTTTTCACCATTCCCGCCGCAAAGCAGTTTTAACTTTTAAGTTAACCGGCGAAACCCTAATTCCTTTCGAGTGTAGGCATCTCAATCGGCCAACCTAAATTTTTGCCGCCTATCATTCATATCCATCGTCCTGTAGCAGAGGGCGAATAGAGCAGCCGACAAGTCTAGCTTATTTCTCAGCGCGGAGACAACTGTTCCTCAAGCTAGGCGAGTGGGTCTCGTCTTCATCTTTTCTGTCCGTATTTCATCAATGGGTAATTATTAATCTTAATTCATCTCCAATTCAGTGTGAAATCCTCTATATAGTGATTTTCTTTTTACAGAAATCAAACTTTTGAAACCTTTGACCTTGGTCATCTGATTTCATGTGGGATCTGGTATGTCTTCTCTTCTAATTTTTGATTTTTAATAAATTATCATTACAATTGTTAAAGCTATAAATTTCTATATTACTGTAAATGAATGTGTTCAAGAATTGTGAGTCATTTTGTTATGTTTCGGTAAACAGTCAAACATTTATTCAGGTTAGTGTGTGTATCTCACAGGGAGTCACAGCCCCTTGTTTCAACTCAATTGTGGATTGTAACTTTATGTCCACAAATTATCATTTGACTATTGACTTTTATGGTTTTGTGCTTTTTGGTATTTGCATAAGCATTGATATTTACCTGTCTCATTGCATAATTTTGTATAGGTGTTGGTTCCACAGTTGGTGCTGGTGTGTATATTATAGTTGGGTGTTTGGGACTGTTGCCAGAGAGCAGACAAGCCCATCACTCACCCTTTCCTTTTTTATTGCTGGGATAGCGGCATCACTTTCTGCCTTCTGCTACGCTGAGCTTGCAAGTCATTGTCCTTCTGCAGGGAGTGCCCATCACTATTCTTACATATGCATTGGAGTAGGTTAATGCATAAAGTTTCATATTTTATGCTCTAATAATCTGAGATATGTGCAGTAACTGTGGGTATAGCCTCATGTAGGTTCCAGCGGAAAACCCTTATAACTTCTCTAGGTATGCTGCGTGTTCTAATGCGGTTTTATCTCAATGTTGCTTGGTTGATTGGATGGGTGATGATATTGGAATACACCATTTCAGGGTCTGCAGTAGCATGCAACATATCTCCAAATCTGGTTCTTTTCTTAGTTCTGGGTCTTCTTACTCTTTAGTGCTTATGTTTTTCGTTGCTTCCAGTGCTTCATTACAAAGCTCTGGAATCTGCTTATGCAAATTACAATCTACCCCGGTATTTCACTTTTAGGATGTGCTGGCTCACCGTTATTCCCGATTAATCTGCCATATTAGTAAGTTTATGTATTTAGTCTCCAAAAGTTTGAATGTAAATAGTGTTTCTTTGTAGGACCATCATATTCCAAGTGCTGAATTGTCTTCAGTTTTTCACTTACCAGCATTTCAAATTTACTACCAAACTAGTGTTTGTTCCAAATGTTAAGAGCTTTTCTTGTTCTGGCCGATCAAGTATGTAGGCAAATTCTGATTTAGAGCTTCTGTACGTCTAATAGCACATATGCACAGTGATATTACGAAATACTGCTAGTTGGTGTAAAATACTAAGAGCCCTTTTTCTTTTCCAAAAGTTCATATCATTAAGCTACTTCTTTGCTAGATGGATATTTTTTGGCAGGTTGTGATTGAATCGCTTTAAATGTCATTTGTAAAAACTCTAACCGATCTAAATACTTGGGAAGGCATCTTGGCATTGTTTGCTTCTTTATCTGAGGTGCATAAATGTATTCCTTATTAATTCTTAATGATTTTATCTGGTGCTTCAATTGTAACTCTTAGCAATAAAAAAGACCATCCTGCTCGGATTAACCTGAAAGAGATTTATTGATATTATGTGGCTGTCAGCCAAGGTTTCCAGGTTGAAGAACAGTTTTTGTTCATATAGGAATTTCTTGACGCTGATGAAATATTCTGTACTGGTACAAGTATGAGTTTCTTCCCCATTGGTAGCGTAAACTATTTAGGAAAATGGTGAGTCTTCTTATGCCAATACCTTTCTTTCGGCAAGTGATATATTGAATTACAATGGCCATTTAATCGGAACATTTGTATATTGGACTTTTTTATTCTAGCTATCCCAAGTTAATAGAAGCATTTAAAAATAGTGAGCCTTATTATGTGATAGAATTGATCAATTCTGTAACAATTCACCAAGAAAGATCAAGAAAGTAATCTGTAGTTTTATTATTAAGAGAGAGAATATGAACAATTACAAAGACCGTAGTCCCCAAAATATTTACTTTCTAATACTAATACTACAGCTTTATTTACTCCTTCGAACATATACTCCGCCAAAATACATATCCCCTGAGTTCTGAATATTTGAGCTCCTATCATTATCCCAAATTTGTTTCGCTCTATATGCCATGACTGACAATGACTCTTCCCTTCTTATATCTTGTTTTTTTTGAAAAAAACTGGAATGCCTTGAATTCCAGATTGACAATATCAGGTCATTTAGTTAGAACTTCTTTTGTTTTAATGTAGCAGCTCTGTTGACGCCTAATATGATGTTTATTCAGCTAGTGCACTTGCATTTTGATCAAATGTTTGGCTTTTTTTCCTTTTTGTCTGGATTTCTGTTACATAGTAAAAGGTGAAGTCAGCTCCAAATTGTACACAACATTAAGTTGAACTGGTTCAAAGTGTGCTAATGTTTATGCAGTTGTATTTCACAAACTTTCTGAACATTATGAGATGTATATGTTCTCAACTAATAACTAGTGAGATATCTCATTACTTGATTTCATTCCTTCTTATTTTTAATTACAAAGACTAATTTATTGCTTATAATATTTCAGACAGATGAAGATAGCAAAATGCAGACAGAAGAAGATAAATGATTATACTTTATGAAGATGGCGAAATGCAGGCAGAAGAATATAATTGATTATACTTGATTCTATTTTTTGTTCTGTCGTAGTGGTTAGTAGACGATAGAATAGGACGGACTTCATACTAAGATTTGTTGGTTAATTGTGAATCTGTATTGATGGAAATAGTCATATAAAGTTACAGATGTATTTTAGTTATTGAATGATTAAATATTATTTTTATTGAAGTGATATAAATCTAGTATTATTTCATTTGTGTCTCCTTGTTTTTATTTCTAAATCATCAAGTATTGTCTTTCAAAAAACAAATCATCAAGTATTGTACTATTTAAATAAAAAAAATTAATATCAATAATATATTATTCATAATAGAATACCATTAATGGTTGCCTCTAAATATGATAAGTATGAACTATATTGATACAATCAATTATTACTAATAATCTTTACCCTAAATAATGGTTGCCTCTAAATATGACATTGCCTCTAAAGATGTTTTGCAACACCATATTGTGTTAGCCTCTAATTGTAATTTGTGACTAGAAATTGGTTGCCTCCAATGATGTTTAGAGGCTTGATATTGTAGTTGCCTCTAATGATGTTTTGAAGCAAGTTGTTATGGTTGCCTCTAATTGCGTATCCTTTTGAATCAAACATTTGGTTGCCTCTAAATGTCGATTTAGAGGCAACCATCATTTAGGGACGGATTCTTTAGGGGCACCTTAGAGACAACCAATATTTTGTCCCAAAAAATCATTAGAGGCTACTTTCATGCCTTTAGAGGCAATTATGTCCCGCCTCTATAAATCTATTTTATTGTAGTGAGACATGGAAGATAAACAAATACATACATTTCGCGGTAAAGATTTTAAGAGCTAAACTTTTTCCTATTTCCTTCTATTCCTTTTTTCAAAAGCATATGAAGTAGAGTGGAATCTGGTCCTTCTTGGAGCATTGTCTCAAGTACAATCTCACAGGTTCTATTGTCGGCTGAGAATCCAAGTCTTAACATCTCCTCCAAAAGCAATATTGCTTCAAGATGCTCATTCTTTTTCAATAACCCACATATGAGTATATTGAATATCACGCTATCACCAATGTACCCATTTCTCTTGATTTTATTGAACGTATCTTTTGCATCTTCTAGCAAGCTTTCTCGGCAAAGACCACTTATCATACTCAAGTAAGTTACCTTATTTGGTTGTAGCCCTTTAGAGGGAAGAACATTGAATAGTTCTATTGCGCGCCGTGACCTTCCATCTAAGAATAGTCCATTAATAACAGTATTGTAGCAGACTATGTCAAGGACAAAACTCTTAGCTTCCATCATCCTTAATAAAGAAAGCGCTTGAGAAACACGATCGTTCTTGCATAATCCATCCAAAATAATGGTGTAAGTGAAGAGATTCGGATGTTCTCGATTTGCCACCATCTCTTTCAAAAGCTTCTCAACATCACCACATCTCCCTGCCTTAAATAAACAGTCCAGGATTATGTTGTAGCTAATAACTGTGGGCTTTAAGCCTTGACTTGGTATTTTATCAAACAACTTTATGGCTTCATCTGAGCAACCGTTCTTGCTATATCCATTTATTAAAATGTTATATGTGTAAATATCCGGGTCACATCCCTTATCTATCATGGTCTCTAAAATTTGCAACGCACTGTCCAGTTTTCCTTGTGAGCAATATCCATCCATCAAAGCATTGTAAGTGATTATGTCAGGATCCACACCTTCTTGAATCATTCTATTCATGACTTTTGCAGCACCGGTGATCCATCCTTCCCTGCAAAACCCATTCACTAGAATGTTGTATGTGTGAACATCCAGAGAAACTCTGTAATCCGTCATTCTTTTCAGTAACTGTTTGACATCTTCCCATCGACTGAATTTACAGAGCCCATCAATTAGCAAATTATAGGTCACGACATCAGGAGGAATGCCCTTTTCCATCATCTTCTCAAACAGGCCCAGCGCATCATCAAACATTTGATCCTTGCACAAAGAGTCAATAACGGTGTTATATGAAAATACATCTGGCTTGCAGTTTCCCTTCTCGTCAAATAAGTGAAGCAGCTTACTAGCCTTAACTGTGTGTCCTGCCTTGCAGAGGCCATCAATGAGTATTGATAGTGTGATTTCATCTACCTCACACACTTTCTGATTCAATACCTTCTGGAACAACCAAACAGCATCTTGAACTCTATGTTGAAGAAAAAGCCCTTTTAGTAAGGTGTTGAACAAAACAGCATCGGCTATTCGACCCAGTTTCAAATGGATTCCTAAAATAGCAAAAACCAAATCTACTTTGAACAAACGGGTAAGGGAATTGGCAGCAATATTCAGTGTGTAATCATCTATCAAGAGATGGCGAGAAGCAAAAATATCTTGAAATAGAGAGAAAGCGGCGTGGTGACAACCCATCTTGACAACGGCACTCAAGAGCTGATTGAATTTCTCAATGGGAGGACGGGGTCTCATTGTAAGCATTTGACGGTACAAAACAACTGCATCATCGAGCTTATTTAGACTCGCAAACTTCGATTTACTAAGTTCAAAGTATGAGTCTTGAGTTTTACACACGAAAGCAAGATCATGAAAGCCAAGGCAGTTGAAGGAGAGTGGATGAGCAATGAGCGAATTAATGTTACCAGTTGATAATCCTCTGAAATCCCAGTCAAAAAAGTGCCGCCGAACGCTATTGATCTTCTTCATTTTTGCCGGCAGGGTCTACGCTTTTCCGATGCCTTCCACAGAAGGGTCTTCCTCTCTCATTACAGAATACGGACTAGGGAGCATAAAAAGTCATGAGATTCTCATTTTAGGTGCTGGTATCACGAATTCCTCGTGCCCGGCGGTCGGACTGAAAGTGTGTCTAAAGGTTGTAATTGTTTCTGATTTGTTCAGTTCGTCCATTCATCCGTTTAGGCTCTTTTTTATGTTTTCCCTGCCAGGTTTAGTCTAGGGCCGGATCCGAAAAATCGAAAAACCGAAAACCGAATCAAATTAAATCGAATCGCAACCAAATAAAACCGAACCGCTAAGAAACCGAAACCGAATGTAAAAAACCAAACCGAACTGAAGTTGTTCGATTCGGTTTTGGTTTTTATCCTTCAAAACCGAACCGAACAAACCGAACTTTTTAAAATATGAAATTTATATGTTAATTGTTAAGCATTAATTCTAGTTAATCTTAATATCATCAATAGTCTTTGGTTTTCTTGTGTTAGAGAAATAATGTTTGTGTTATGTTTAATTTAATTTAGTTTATAAATTCATTTACACATTCATTGTCTGTAATAATAGCTATATTGAATGATGATCATATGTGTTTACTAGTTATTAGTAGTAATTAACTTTTATTTTTAGCTGACTTAAAGATTTTGTATTGATAAAACAATAAATATTCATCTCAACTTCACATATAACGTATATATTCATGAGCTTTTTTCGAACTACTCACAAACAAATTAAATCAATAATATATACAGTTTTATCTATCTCGCATACTCATATAATTCAAGACATATTTATCTCTTCTCATTTTTATTTTATTTGTTATTGTATTGTGCTTGCATTCTTTATGTAATATGTTTGATCCCTCTAAGTTTTATATCAATTTTAAATCAAGTGAGAATTTTTTGGTAAAAACCCGAAAAAACTGAAACCGAACCGAAACAAACCGAACCAATCAAACCGTGGTTCCAAGTTTTGGAGTGTAAAACCGAACCGAAACCGAACCGAACTTTTTACTTCGATTCTATATTTGGTTTTAGGTCAAAACCGAACCGCAAGAACCGAACCCACCTCTGCTTTAGTCCACTACGCGCAAGCATATCTGCATCTGCTATCTTCCGTTTGACTCTTTTTTTTTTTTGCTTTCAAGTAACTCTGATCTTTCTTTTTAATTTTTTCCCCTTTTCTGTTTTAACACCTTTTCCATTGATTTTACCTTTAATTTATTATGTATATCTAGGATATTAATGTTTTACTTTTTATTTTTAGTTTAATATGAATATTTATTACTTTATTAAATATTTGAGGTATTAATGTCTTATTTTTTATTTTTAGTGTAAGATGAATATTTATTATTTTATTAAATATTATGTACTAATTACTAATTAACATGCGTTTTATGTTATGCTGAAATGAGTATGGTGTAAAATAAATAGCATGCGTTTTATGTTATGCTAAGATCCCTATTATTTCAAATATAAAATTATTATGTTTGTCATTATTATGTTTGTTGATACACGTTATATTTACTTGTGTTTAACATAAGTATTTATAAGTATTTGTTGAAGCGAAGAAAAGAAGAGAAATCGGACAAATACCTTCAGAATGAGTGCTAAGACATAAAACATTGTGATGAACCTTTTTTTAGACCAAGAGGATGACGTTATGCCCATAATTTGAGTATAACGTATTGTAGAGAACTCGAAATCACTCGATTCGAATTTCATGTGAATTTTAACTCAATAAGGTACAAATGTTATGAAGACGTCATGGCCAAAATATGAAAGGAACAAGACTCAATCAACCAACAAAGTCAGATGTTGCTGGTGGGATTTCAGAATGCATACCTCTCAGTGTTTTAGCCATAACGTTTAATTGGATGAATAAAATCACGTCATTCAAGTTTTGGTGGATAGAAGACTTCATCATCTACAACTTTGGTGAAGGAATCATGTCCAAATTCACAGCGAAACATTCCCAAAATCCCGGTACAAAAACCGACACGTTTTGATCCATTTCGGAGGAAGAAAAACGAAGTACAAATTTGGGGCGCTGCAACCGGCGCCGGTCAGCCTATAACCGGCGCCGGTTGGAAGGTTTTTTCGCACTTAACGAGCCTGTTTGCGACCGGGCCGGTTCTAGACTGACCGGGGCCGATTGGGATGATTTTCTGCTAAAACACAGCAACGTGCAAGAGGATCTTTGATGGGAAAACTTCACCTTCCTCATCTCTTGATCAAATATTGCTCCATACCTGATTGTTGGGCTCGGATAGACTAAAAGATGTCATTCTTTAGCCTATATAAAGCCCTCAATTCATCAAGCAATGACATCCTATTCCACAGATTAATTCCTAGCTTTTATATTTTTGTTCTTGGTATTTTCTTCAAGTTCTTGAGGAGGAAACTTCAACCTCCGAAATCATTGGTGTTTAGGTATTATTTCCTTTGTAATTTCATGTTACATTACATTTCAATATTGTATTGTGATTAATATGAGCATTAGAGGCTAATTTCTTAGCTA